TACAAAGTTGGGTGTTTGTGGTGTTAGCATAAATTAGTAATACCCCCGTAAAGGAGTTAATCCATTTGAAGAACAGTTTATTATATGTTTTTATTTGCTTTTATTATATTTTAGAAAAGTACATAGTTATTAATTTGATAGATTATTTTAATATTATCGATTCAGAATAATAAGAAATATTTTTAAAAATTTGAAAAAAAAGCTGATGAGCAGAAAAAGCTTGATTAAATAAAGTGATTAGAATATAATGAATTCGTGTGTTCACTTCAAAAAAGTCAGACTTTTTTTTCAAGATCGCGGAACATAGAGGACGTTGTCACTCATCAATGAAAGTATGAAGTTTTGGTTATCTCTCTCCATCAGAGCCAACTCTCGTTGCTGTTCTAATCTTCTCTTCGCTTCAGCTAGTTCATGATTTTGAATATTTTCTAATTGTGTATTATACTCGTCTTGTTCTTTTTGAGATTGTTTAACCATATTTTCAGCATCAAGTTTTGTCCATCCAGTAATCGGATCACGCCATGTGTGATCATGAATATTATTTTTTCTTGCAATTACATCTAGAGTTCTTCTAGCAAGTATACTAAGATTATGAGCACGTAGAAATGGATTTGGAATAATTTTAAACGTGTGATCCTTGTGTACTGTATTAATGCATTTTTCACACAAATCATAACTAGGTTCACATCGCTCACAATGATATCGTATTCCATAGAATTTTTCCCCTCGACAATTGTTACAAATAATGCCTAAATGTTCCAAATCATGAGCACGTTGTAAACGCTCCTTTTGTGACATTCTATTTGAAAATGTATGCATCGATGGATGTTGATGAGGCATGAGAGAGATACACTGATCACAAACACAGAAGTCATTTGGACATTGATCACAACCAATGATGCGATCTTTTCCGGACGCTAGCACTTTTAAACAATGATCACAGTAGCCCAAAAACATTGTTAAATATTCTTTGCTTGTAAAAATCGATGTTGGCTGCACCTTAAGAAAGAGCAAAGCTGTTGCAAAATTAAATAAAAACTTTGATAAAATTTGTTGAAAGCAAAAAATTTTAGATAAAAATAAACTTGAATTGATGATGCTCTTAGTTTACTTCAAAATGAGATTTCCTCTAGGTTTACCTGTGAATGTTTTTCAAGCTCTCGGGGTTTTTCCGTTATTGTTGTTGATGACAGTGCTGATGCCATCAATGCTATTTCAGTATTCATCTAAAATGAACGATCAAATGCACTGTTTTGATACAATTCATTTTGATGCAATCTCATATTTACCTTGTCTAATGTATGACGAGAACTGCTTGGGCGGTTATGCTTCTTCGTCGAGCATGTCATGCAAACAAAATGATTCGTACACTTACGGCATTTATAAAATGTTGATGATTCCGCAATTTGAATACCGCATGACGTACAAAGCATGATAGACATCGTCGAATCAATGAAAGAAATAAGTAATAATGATACACGTTTATGTGTGTATTTATATATATATTAATGCGCAATATAGAAAAAATCGTCAACAGGATAAAAAAAAATAGTTGATTTGTTCTGTCAAGTGAAACATGATGAAATCACGTGCGTCATCGAACGTATATTATCGCCTCATTTTTATGAGTCTTACGATGCTTGGAAAATTTCAACTTAATACACAATCGTGCTGGATTTAATATTATAATATTCTCCTCAACTATGAATTCTTAAATATTAGGTGATACAATTTTTTTAAAGGGAAAAAAATACATAGTTATGAAATCAATTGAAATCTCAGCATTTGTTTGATTATGGAGCATGGCAAAGTCCATCCTCATATAGGCAATGAATTTAAAGATATCACGATTACCAATGTATGAAGGAAACTTTATAGTTATACATATTATACTCAATCGATAACACCTAAAAGTACAGAGTCCTCAAACTAAATGAAATTTACGAAACCTTAAATATCATTCACAGTACTGAAAAATGAAAAGATGTCACTACAGACACGAAATATAACATAATGATATGTTTATCTACTTTCTCGCTAGCACATATAATCGAACAATATGCATACGTACAAAGTACATCCTGCTTTCGATAAGCATAATATTTTAGTCATGACTGTTTCCTTGTTCAAAACTTTAAAACAACTTCAAAAATGAACTGAGTCTCTTTCCACGATGAGGGTTGGCCAACGATTCCATCGGTGACATAAATGATAATTTTCAGCGGAATTATGGCCTCCACGTCAAAAATGCCTCTCTTCATCACGTCACACACAACGATAAAATTACAAAAGAGTTCGAATCAAAGATAAAAACTATACAACCGGCAAAATGAACACCCATACGAATAATGAAGATTCATACAGCCAAAATGAAACCCAAAAGTGACAAAAATGATTTCTTCTATCGGAAAAATGATTAGCTATTTCACTACTTATACATAGTATTTCACCCGAAATATGAAAATTCATAGGAATAATGAAGATTTCTATAGAAAAGATGAAATCCAAAAATCACAAAAACTTTCATCTATGGGTATAATTATTAGATACGTCATTGATAGTTCGTATGTGACGCAAAAATGAAAACCAATAAGAAAAATAACTAAAATTATAATAAAAATGCTTAAAGAAAAGTGGATTAATTCGATCATCAGTGGAAAAATGATCTATACGATTACTTTTACCTTTCTATATGTTTATTGATAGTTAATATGTGACGGAAAAATGAAAATCAATGAGAAAAATGACTAAAACTATAAAAAAAATGCTTAAGAGCCATTTCATTTAAACCACGACCTATGGTGCTCAATCGATTTTTTCGAATTTCGATTTCACATACACATTTCAAAAGTATACTAATTAGTGAGTTGTTTGCCACTAAGCGCACGTCGATAGCTCAAATGGTCACTGAAAAAATCAATTTTTAATTTTAGGCCATTTTCATTCAACTGACGATGTTGATCTACCCCATGTCTACTAAGAAGTGTGCCACTTTCGATTGAGGCGGCGTAGAATGATAAAAATTTGAGGATAGATACATATTGCGTTGCTCTACAAAATAAAACAATCCCGAGCTCTGAATGTTGCTTTATGACTGAGTCATAGATGTCGCTAGTAGCTGAGTTTCAACAGTTGATATCTATTGCGTAACCAAACCACTAAGGCTGAAACTTTTAAAATAGATACATGGCCGATGAAGCTATAGAATGATCAAGAGAAAACTTCGGGTAGTGGAATAGAATCTGAGATATGAATTTTCTACGGGGTATGGGTGTGGGTGTGTGGGGTGTGGATGTGTGGGTGGGTGTGGGTGTGGGTGTGAGTGGGTGTGAGTGTGAGTGTGGGTGTGTGGGTGGGTGTGGGTGGGTGTGAGTGTGAGTGTGGGTGTGGGTATCATTGAAGAAAACACCCACACCCTTCTTTTGAATTAAGAAAAAACAGCATTCATGCCTTTGATATCTGTGCTGATTTTAGTTTAAAAGAAATATCAGCAATACTTTTTATTGTTTTTCAACTGCATGTAAATATATAGGATTTTCTTTCGCATGCATGTAAAGCAGAAATTGTTGATGAATGAGTTTTATAATCACATCTAGTGATGCAGGCATGCATAGTAGAAGAGTTTTTCTCTTTGTCATTGTGACCAACGTTAAAATTGTACAAATCACAAAGGGGAACAAACAAACTTTAAATATTATTTCTTTATGAATTGTAGAAATTGTTGAAAGACTGGTAACTAGAATACTACAAGAACAAAATTTCTTTTTCTTTGACACATATTTCGGGAGTCTATGGGCTTTTTTATTTCAAACTGAATTCTAAAATCAAAAAAACCGCACCAACTTCTTCCGAATCAAACTTTTCTCGTTTGATACTACGTAGTCCCACTAAAAACCCTTAGTCCCCCCTAGTCCTGCAAAGTTCCCCTTAGTCCCCCCCCACAAAAAGCTTAGTCCCCGCTTAGTCCCTTGTGCAGGGGACTAAAGCCTATAGTACACAAAGCCACAAGCACACCCTCACCCTCACTCGCGCGCCCACACCCGCACTATGGGTGTGGGTGTGTGTGTGGGTCCCAGATCAACACCCACACCCTCAGTCATTCCCCCCCTCACTCCTAGACTCACGTTTCAGTTTGAAATCAAGTATTATTTTTATTTGATAAATTCAGACTGAAATTAAATAGCCCATAGTATGTATTTCGGATGCATATAATATCAAGCAAAGATCACACTCACACTCATACGCCATCGTATCAAAATAACAAAGAAAATGAAGTCTAATTTAATTCTGAATATTGATTCGAATTCGAATTAGAGCTATTTAGTAAATGACACGACTAAGGTTCATAGCTGCCATTATCAAATAAAACTTTCGCTCGTTTACTATATCCATACGAAAGGTTCTTCTTGAACTGTTTCATTCGTTATTGTATTTCATAATACATACTTCAATATTCAATTTTATTCGAAGTTCCATTAGGGTACTCGTAATTACTTCAGTAGCTATGATGCACAATACATATCGCTGAGAATTAAGCGCAATGAGAGCAGTTGTTTTTATTTGCATAATTGGTGAATAACGAACAGCGTAATTGGCAAGTAGAAATCATTGTTCGATTGTTGTTTCAATCAAAATTGAGTTTATTTTTCTTGTTGTTTTGTTCATATTATCAGAATGTCCATTATAATCATAATGGAAAAAATCACACTGACGGTGTCTGTGTTGTTCTTTTCGTTCCTGCCAGAAAGAAAAAAAACTTGTTCCGAAAAGATCAAAGAAAAATAAACAATGAATGAGTTAAGGCATCTGTAGAATGACTTAAGTGTCATTCTACAGATGAAAAGCAAACAAAAGTTGGAAAGAATAATCATAAAATAAATTATGCTGTTGGATTTCTCTTTTTCGTTTCTTGTTGACAACCATATTTTCAACTGTAACTAGGTGGAGTTTATCGTTGAGTGTCAACGAAAAAGAAAAACACCCACATTTGACGTCATAAAAACATCTAGAAAAAACAAAGCATCGACTGTACAAATAGAAAAGGTGATATCTGTCTAAACAACAAGCAACTATTCACCATTTTGAACTACCTATCGAGCGACAACTTGTATTCAATATGAGTGGACAAAAATCCAAACAAAATGTTTCCGAATCAAGTATGGATGCTGTCGTATGTACAACAGCATCGTCAAATACTATTCGCCCACGGCGACGTATGAATCAGAATTATTTGCTCATTTGGATCGATGGTAGTATTGATGAAGCAAATAACGATTGTCAAAGTACACTCGCACAATTGCGCAGTGTCGTCAACGAAGTCACAATCTGTACCGAACCGGCACAATGCATCAAATGCCTCAATGACACGGATGACGAAAAAGCTTTCATCATCTCTTCCGGTGATTTAGGCCAGCACCTAGTATCACAAATTCATGATATGCCACAGTTAGATACTATGTATATCTTGTGTGACGACGAATCGCAACACGAGGCATGGACCAAAGAATGGCCAAAGATTGAAGGTGTATTCACCTCAATCAAACCAATATGGGAATCATTGAAAAAGGTCGCTCGCCAATGTGACCATGACAAAATCCTGATGAGCTTCGTTCCGAAGCGAACGATGCCAGCCACAGCATCGGATCAACAAAATCTCGATCAGTTGGAATCAACCTATATGTATTCATTGTTATTTAAAGAAATTATATTAGGAATCGATGAAGACAATGCAAAATCGGTAAAAGATCTAGTTGCTTATTGCCGACAACAAGAAATCTCGGAATCCGAATTGAAAGATTTTCAGGATCAATACCACCAAAAATCACCAGTATGGTGGTATACCTGTGATATTTTTTTGTATAGCATGCTCAACCGCGCCTTGCGGTCACTTGACATGGAAGCCATGGCAAAAATGGGCTTCTTTGTCCGAAACCTCCATCGACAACTGGAACAACTGCACCAAGAACAATCGGATTCATATAAAAAACAATTTATCGTTTATCGTGGTCAAGGACTCTCTCAGCAAGACTTTAATCATCTACTTGATGCAAAAGGTGGACTTCTCTTATTCAATAACTTCTTGTCTACCAGTACAGAAAAACACGTAGCCGTGAGATGTATTGAATGTGCACTACACAAAGACAAAGACACCGTGGGAGTTCTCTTCATTATGACAATTAATCCTAGTAAAGTTTCGGCTTTCAGTACTCCGTTCGCGCTTATCAAT